AAAAAAAAGAGCTTTTTAAAATGTCCTTGGTTTTACTTGTTGTAGTGGATAAAAGTGAGATAGAAGTGCTTTGTACTGACATTTTCCAGAATGTAATTGGTGGTCCAGGAGGGGGAGTTAGATTCGATCACACTGGTCTGGAATTTTTGCGATTGAAACTGGATCTTAACATATCTGTGAAATGGCAAAATGTGGAAAAAGAACATTACTGTGTTAGGAGGGATATTATACCCCTTATGTCAAACAGAGTGATTTGTGGCCCCAATAAATGATTTGTGACCCTAGGAAGTAATAAAGGAAGTAATAAAACATATGGTAGCCATAAAATTATTATATTCATAAAATTTATGATATTCATAAATTTGTGATATTCATCAAAATATGCTAGTTCATAGCTCATTAATTTTTTCCCCAAAAATAAATGATTTGATTATTAAAAAATAACATGTTTTTTTTATATCAAATAGCATTCTTCACTTTTAAGCCATTAATTATTATTTTTTACTCTTTATGCTTAAAAACTGCCATCTGGTGGTGGGTCAGTGCGTGTGTGAAATAAAGTTTTCCAACGCCCCCCCCCCCCATTTGTTTAATCCGGACAAGGAAAATGAGAATCCAAGTCCGATTCACAAATGCTGGAGATCCCCCCAAAAAAACACCCCTAACATAAGCGCACCGCGGCTCCCAGCAAAAACCTCCTGAAAAACCCTCCGTCTTTCTCCAAAAACGCACAACAACAGCAAAAACCCCCCCCCCTAGAATAACTCGATAAAACTCTCGCTATCCCCCCAAGCATAAGCTCACCGCGGCTCCCACCCAACCCTTAGGCAAACAAGCAGGAAACCTCCAGAAAAAACCCTCCGTATTTCTATCCAAAACACGCGCAAAATACCCCCCTAGAATAACTTGTTAGGGGGAACCCTCTATTCCCAAAATTATATTCGATAACAGGGTAAAAACTCCTGAAAAAATCCTTGGTCTTTTTTCTTCAAACCAGCCCTCTTACTAGCTCGATCTCAAATTCAGCGCACAGCCTAAGTTCTACCTCACACTGAGCCGCAGCCAGCGCACAATTTTTTCCCTTGTTACTCTCGCTATATCTGCTCCTTATTAATGATTTCGGGCTCTCCGTTCGAAATTTGCGCTGGAGACCAACTCCGCCTCCGAGACGTGCCTAACTTCGCCCCGCTGCCAATGACATAACAAAAGAGCGGCTCCCCTTGCACCCCGGTTAGCCAATCGCATACAGGTCCGATTTTTATGATCTCTCGCTGAGGGAAAAATATCCATCTGTCCAATCGGGAGAGATCTGTTCTTAGCGCTAGGTTGTCCCGCTCCTGCCGGCCACAGCTCCATCCCCACCGGCGCTTCTTCTCTCCCGCGACCCTCGGGGAACAATATTCGTCTGTCCGCCAAGATTTGCTCTCCGCGGTCGGTCCTCACGCTCCTGGCTCCCGGAGCACCATCCCCACCAACGCTTCTTCTCCCCCATCAGGCAGACGAAATTCACGGCGCCTGCTTTTGCGAGCTAAACAGCCTCTCTATGTTCTCACTTTTTTTCTTATTTAATAAAAACTATCCTTTTGTATTTAACATAACTCACTGGGGGTTTTTTTTTTGGGGGGTTATCCCCAAATTGTTAGGTCTACTTAAACATCTCAGGAGCAACAGAACAAGCAGCAGGACCAGAAGGATAAGGAGCACAAGGACAAAGCGCAGACGACACCAGCTCGCTTCTATCGCTCTTCGAGCAGTATGTCTCATTGCTGAATTAATTCGCTCATCATATAAAAAGCTGTTTTTTTTTCTTTACTTTTTCAACAACTGTGCTTTTAGATATTCTTGTCACTCAATAAAAATGGATAACCAGGAACATGATATTACAGACCCATTTCTTGCTTCTAGCGTTAGCTAGGTTAAATCAAAATACTGTTCATTCACAGAATACACCTCCACAAAGCGGTGAGCAACCTGATGTGATCAATAATAATAATAATAATGACCCTTTAGAAATGCTTAATTTAGCTCTAGCCCGATTAGCGCCTAGTGAAAGTGTCTCGCAAAATAGCTCTCAATGTTTGAGTGTTGAGCATGGTGAGATCCAAACAGAGTCAGACGCGGCTCATTCTCAACTGAGTCTGACACAAAACATTTCCTCATCCGATCCGTTTATAGCGCTTAATCAGGCTTTAGCAGCCTTGGCAGAAATCTTTATCTATCTATCTTTATCGCTCATAATGCCAAGAGTTTTGATGCTTACATTATTCTCAGGGCTATGGTTAAGCAAAGCTTAAAACCAAAGTTAATCAGTCAAGGCTCGAAATTGATCAGCTTTACAGACACAGACTTAAACCAGCGCTATATGGACTCGTGCTGTTTCCTTCCGATGCCGTTGTCAGGTATCCCAAAAGGAATGGGGTTTTCAGACAGCATTAAAGGCTTTCCCCCCATTGTTTCAGTTCGAAACAAACATCACTTATCCTCCCCCTCCACCTATAGTCTCGAGCGTATGACAACACAGGGCAGGAAAGAATTTTACAAATGGTATGATTCAGTCAGCTCCGGCACCTTCAATTTCATGAAAGAGGCCCTTTTATACTGTGAAAACGATGTTGAAATTCTAGCTCGGGGTTGCACATTGTTCAGAAACGGATTTATTGAAGAGACAGGAGTAGATCCTTTCAGCCGCAACACCCTTGCTAGCGCGTGCCTAAAACCTATTTAACAAACTTCATGCCAATGAATTCTTTAGCAATACTGTGCCCTCTAAATTACCATAATCAGGTCAAATCATTTTCCTCATCCTCAATTCAATGGCTCCAATATCTCTCTTACACACAAGGTGTTTTTATCAGACATGCACTCAATCAAGGGGAAAAACAGCTCACTTGTTATTATGTGGATGGGTATTGTCAGATTAACGGTAAAACATATCTGTGGGAATTTTTGGGTTGCTACTTCCATGTTTTTTACGTGTTTTTCAAATCAAGCCGATGTTAACCCTCTGTTAGGGGCCTCTTTTTCAGACAGTAACATGGCCGCTCAAGACAGGCTCGCTAGATTGAGAGCTGAACATAATGTGTGTCCTGTTATAATCTGGCAGCATGAGTGGACCAAGTTAAAACGTACTGATGAGAGTGTAATCAACTTCCTCAGACGTTATGATCCACCAGAGCCTTTGAATCCTCGCCATGCCCTCTTCGGAGGCCGTACAAGCCCAGCACAGTTGCGTTGCAGTGTAGCGCCTGGTGAGAAAATTAGTTATGTGGATGTCACCTCGTTGTATCCGTTTGTAAATAGCACCTGTCGTTACCCCTTAGGCCATCCTCAAGTAATTTTTCGAAATTTTCAGCACCCTAAAAACTACTTTGGGTTTATCAAAGCGGTTGTATACCCACCCAGAGGACTCTATTTTCCCGTTTTACCCTATAAAACAAAGTCAGGCAAGCTTCTCTTTACTCTCTGTCGCACTTGTGCTGAAATGAACAACCAAGAGGGGAAAGACCTTTTTCGTGAAATCTGTATTGGAAAATTGTGTACGTTTCGAACAAGTTTGTTGACAATGTTGTGTGGGTTTATACATCCTTTCAGCCTCTGTATTCTGAGCTTCAAGATAAAAATAAAAGCATTAAATTCATTGAAGGTCTCCCTGATTCTTTTGACGATGAGAGCTTGTTTCCCTCACACCAGAGTCATCTCATTGTACTGGATGATGTTATTTTTTAAGCAGCAAATCATCCAAAAGTGGTCCGGATTTTCACACAGTACAGACACCATAAAAATATGAGTGTGATGATGTTGAGCCAAAATGTGTTTCTACAAGGTAAACACAGCAGGACGATCAGTCTGAACAGTGTTATTTAAAAACCTCACGATAAATTACAAGTTAATACACTAGCTAAAAAATATGTCCAGGACGTCTGCATTTCATCTTGGAGAGTTTTGAAGAAGCCACGAGAGAACCACACGGATATTTATTGATAGGTTTAACCCCCACCTCTCCAGAGCAACTCAGACTGAGATCCGGGATACTACCGTCAGAACAGCTGTGTGGAAATATTCCAATCACACAATGCCAACATAAGAAGTTGAAATGACATAAGAGAAAATCAGACAAATGGCCAACAGACGTGACGGTGTCAGGAAGAAAAAGAAGGTAATGACTCAAAAAGGCGGCTTCCTCTTACCACTACTCACAACAGTCTTACCCATCGTAGCTGATTTAGCTATAGGCGCCATTCGCAAATAAAAATGCAGAAAATGTATCTGATCTCGCCTGAGCAGATCAAATGCTTACATGAAACGCATGCAAATGCTTCTCGACCAAGCATCAGATACAAAGCCGAGGATGAACTGGACAGTCAAATGAGACGTGTATTGGAGACTCAGGGTCTAAACCCCGATGAGAAAATAAAAAAAGTATAACATGCTTTTACAAAAGTATCTCATACTAGAGAGACAAAAAGTAGATGAAAGCAAGCAAATAACACTAAGGCTCCCCGCTGCGCGTGAAGAGGGACAGAGTGAGAGATCACATGATGAGCGCGACTACCAGCAGGAAGAAAGCGAGGAGGGGGAGCAGGTCGCAAGTGTGAATAAGGTTTTACATGCCGTTTTAACCCACATAAACCCTCGCTCAAAGAGCATAAAAAGTAAAAACTTTTTATGCTTAAAAATAAAGGATGCTATTTGATATAAAAAACTTTTTTTTAATAATCAAATCATTTATTTTTGGGGAAAAATTAATGAGCTATGAACTAGCATATTTTGATGAATATCACAAATTTATGAATATCATAATTTTCATGAATATAATAATTTTATGGGTACCATATGTTTTATTACTTCCTTTATTACTTCCTAGGGTCACAAATCATTTATTGGGGCCACAAATCACTCTGTTTGACATAAGGGGTATAATATCCCTCCTTGTGTTAATGTCTATGATTCATCTGTTATGTTTACAGTGGCTTTCCTTTGAAGCTTATCTTGTTCACTACTCACCCGTCAGTCTTGTCCAAAAAATCTCCTTTCAGACCAGAGGCTTGGATCATTGTTATCCTCAGTGTTCCTTTCTGAATCTCTTTAGGACAACAGTTGGAATCCAGGTTGGGACCACTGCTGCTACAGTACGACTGTGTGTTTGATCGACTGATGCTGTTGTCTTTTAAGTACTGCTCTATTGCAGCCTTTAGTCCTTTATTCCGTGCTGACGTTTGCACCAGTTCATACAGTGGTCTTAGAGAGTAGCAAACCACATCAGGTTGATCTATGAGGGTTTTTAGCCAATTCTGGTAGCCCAGTGAGTCATTTCTGGTGAGTGAAAACTCCCCAGTCCAGCCTCTGCCTCCTACCACTTCTGAATAATGACCATGAAGACCAGAGGCGTACATAACAGAGACACCTTGGTTGTTTAGGACTGAGGCGCATAAGTTAAAAGAAGGACCCAGATTAACATTCCCCAGGCCTACCTTGACACCCAATGACAAGCAGTCGTGTACCTGTGTGAAAGGAGGTAACACTGGATATTGCTTTTGTTGGTACAAAGTGTATGTACATATGTTCACTGCTTTAACCAGATATATGTGCTACACATACCTGGGATGAAGTAAGATGATTCAGACTGGACAAGCAGGTACGTGTAGACGTGACTCGCCTGAACTGCCCTCCAAGATCAACCTGAAAAAACATTTATTAAACATTTTTAAAAAAGGGTTTAGTCCATGGGGCCCGGCCGGGCACAGCCCGAAG